CAATGTTATTAGACATAAAGCTAGGTCAGAATCATCACACTTAAGCCAACACTGATAAGTAACTTCAACTAGCTGGCTAGTTACTTTGTAAAGAAGCTGCTCTCTATCAATCTTGAAAATTTGCGTCTCACTTTCTAGATAGGTTTTTATGACATGAAATTACTGAACAGAGAGCTAAGTGTGGTGGTACATCCCTATAATCCCAGCACTTGAGAAGCTGAAATAGGATTGTGAGTTCAAAGTCAAACTAGTGAAACCCTCTCTCAAAAAAAAACAAAACAAGAATTACTGGTCATGGATGGTACATACCTGACTCAATCCCAACTACTTGCAAGTTGAAGATCAGGAGGATCATGTTCTAAAGTCAAACTAAGCAAAAATTAGCAAGACTCCATCTCACACAACAACAGGCATGGTGGTACATACCTATGATCCCAGCTGCATGGGAGGCATAGGTAGGAGGATCATGACCCAAAGCTGGTCCTGAGCAAAAATGTGAGATCCTATCCAAAAAAAAAAGTAAAGCAAAAACAAGGGGGAGGGAACGTGACTCAAATGGTAGAGTGCCTAACAATACAGGGTGTTGAGTTCAAACCCCAGTACCACCACCACCACCATACCCTGCTAAAAAAAGAGAAATTATTGGATAATATAGTGATAGAATATACTTTGGAAAGTAGATAGGCATCTAGAACAAAGAAGCTCCTAGAATGGACTATGCTTCCCATAGTTACCCCATTTTTATGGAGTGATCATGGTAGATATTGAAAAGGACATGAGGGGAATAAGGTAGACATGTCCTATCTAAATGTCTTAGAGAGCAAGATAAAATTAAATGGATTCTTCAATGGCTGAAAAGTTCTACCTTATGATTTATCTTAGATATTTTTTAAACATCAGATTAGATAAACAGAAAGATTAAAAAACAAAAAATAAACAAACAAACAACAACAAAAAACAAAGAGAGGCTGGAGGTATTGCCGAAGTGGTACAGTGCCTGCTTAGCAAGCACAAGACCCTGAGTTCAAACCCTAGTATCAGAGAGACAGAGAGAAATGATAGAAGTTTAGAAGGGACAGCCAATGATACGAAGAGCAATGCCAGCAGCAATCTAGATAAAGCATAGAGTGGATCGAGATGAGTTTAAAAACCACACATATATAGCCAGATACCCACTGACAGGAATGGACAAGATAGCACTAAGCAGCAGGGCCTTTATAGGGAAAACCCCAGGCTCTGACACTGGTGAGCTCAGTGGGGATCACAGAGCACAAAAAGCCAAAGCCCTCCTGGAATAGATTGGTGAGTCTCCTTCCAGAGTTATGCAGGCCTTGACTGTTGCTCTACCATACCTACTGCCCCTGAAGCAGGGATTCAGTGAGGACTAGCACTTGAGTGTAGGGCATTCAGGCAAGAACTATAATGAAGAGAGTCTCTGCAAGGCCTGAGGAAATCATCTAGACTAGCACTGTCACACTGCCCAAAGAAGTATGCCAACTATATAAGGATTTGTGAATATCTTAGTAGCTATAATAAAAAACTCAAAAGGTGAAATTAACAATATATTTACTTAATCTCAAATTGTTATTTCAAATTGTAATATTGTAATCAAAATAAATTACTAATGAACTATTTCACATTTTTTCATACCACTTCATAGAAACATATAGGTATGTATTTTATACTCAAAGTAACTCTTAATTCACATGTGTGTAGCATCAAGAAGATGGATGGAGAGGTTTCAGTATAGACTGACTTTCCTCTCTTAACAGAGACTTCATCAGTGCACTATGCTGCCTCTGGAGGGATAGAGATTCCCATGGCTGAAGGAATTCAAGAAAAGCTACGCAGAAAGGGATTTACACCTCAGAGTAAGAATTTGATTTCATGAGGAAGAACAACTCACTCTGATGTGAAGATCTGATTCCCTGGAGAGAAGAGAAAACCTGATGGTTAAAAGGCATAAAATCCTCAGAAAAGCAGAGTGCAAACAAAGCAAATGGTACCAGGTAAAGAGAAGTGGTAAATGACTGGATAATGCCACTAACAGGAATTACATACAAAAAGCTATAGCAAACAAACCTGCCCTATCTTACTTCTTCCATGTGGTATTTATGGTTCTCTAGCAAGCCAAGCTTCCTGTGTAGTCAACCTACCTGAAAACCATAGTCCACAAGTCTTCAAAAGTGTTATTATATAAAATTTGAATTTTGTCCTGGATTCCTTGGAAGGAACTTTTAAATTTTAGGAATTTCATTAGTGTTAAGAGTTTCATGGTTTATGCTAATGAGATAATTCATGATCATCTCATGTGATTAGACAACTGGAGCTTTGGGATCAGACTGTCATGGAAGAGAGGGGAACTGATGAATAAGTGCCATCAAATCAGTGTTTAATAGACCCCAATAAAAATGCTGGATGTGAAATTCAGTAGAGCTACCAGTTGGTGTATACGTGGATTATGACAGGAGGGTGAAGTGCCCATATTTCACTGGGCACAGAAGTTTTGCACTTGAGTCCTTCACAGACTCTACCTTATCTATCTTTTCATTTGGTTGGTCCTGACTGAAGGTCCTGCCTTTAAAATAAAACGTTCTGCAAGTGTTTCTAGTGAATTATCAAACCTGAGGTGGATCACTAGAACTCTCCAGATTTACAATAACTTGGTCAGAGTGGAAATGGCTTAAGGACCTCCACAGACACACACAAAATGCAAGTATGGGCAACCTTTCTGGGCTTGTGACTTTAACCCACGAGTCTAAACTAACTACTGGTAGTTCGTGTCAAAACTGTACTGCAGTATTTTAGGAGGACCAGTCCTCTCAAACACATCTGGCACAACTCTGTGACTTCAGAATCTGAGCCTTTCTTTGCCTGCCAGAGGCTTATTTTCACCATCCTTGCTCAACTTTTATATTCCATTCTTACTTCCACTGCCCCCCGCCCCAATCCTCAGGAAGAAGGGTCCCTCAAACCAAAGTTATCCGGTAAACATTTACTTCAGTATGGAGAGAGCTAATGAAAAGAAATGAAGTAAAGAGATTAATAAATAACTCACAATGAAGTATTTTTCTTTTGCTAAAACAAGTCTTTGGGTCTGTGAAGTGGCTTGAGTGCTAGAATGCCTGCCTAGCAAGCATGAGGCCCTGCTTCAAACCCAGCCCCCTCCCAAAAAAGAAGTTTCTAGTTCTAAGTGTTTTATTATAACACAAAAGTGGTGGGGGGAGGAGAATGGCACTACAAAGCCTATGGTATGTCTCAAGCAGTGAAAAACCCAAGTGTCATTTAATACATAGATGAGAGGAGGGTGGAAGGCACAGATTGGGGCAGAGAAGTGAAAAAGTGGTCAAAACTGATCTCAAAGTGGAACATTACAATCTAATCTCTAATAAGAGTCCTTAGTTTCTGATGTTCAGAATGAAATAAAAATAAAAAACTTCTGGAATAAAGTTTTCAAAAACCACTCAGTCAATTCCAATGCTTCTCAGAGGGTACTTTAGGCTGTCCACTAAGCCAGTGTGCTCAGGCATACAACTTTCACTATTGGAGGGATGCAACTTGAGTGAAGTTAACCAAGTACTAAATCTCTGCAAGTCTCAGTTTCCTTACCTGAAAAATGCAGTACTGGTATAAAGTAGGTGCTCACCAATTATCAGTTCTTTCAGGGCTGAGAGGCTGAGGTTGACACAACTGGTCCTAATAAAGGGTCCTCCAACTCCAGTACAGACAAGGGCTGCCCACTCTTCAGCTGCCACACTGAGCTCTCATTACCATGCTGGTACACTTAAGGCCTTGGGTTAGCAATGTCCTTGATTCCTGTTACTCAAACAAACTTTCTGAGGCATAGGCTACTTATAGGAGACTGGTTTCCTGAACACTATCTTTGTACATTGGGAAATTACATCTCATACTATCATGTGACTATTTTGAACAATATTATGCTTTAAAACACACAAAGTGTCCAATTTCAGTTCCAAATACTAGAATCATTAATTTGAATAGCAGACTGACCTACGTACTCTATACATAATTAATTCAGGCCAGGATAACAATTCAATTAATGCTCAAAGAAAGCTGGATGTAAAATTAGTAATGCATTTAATGTGATTACTGATGTTTTCCTTGGAATATTTTTATGGTATAAACTTGGGCTAATGCCACTATAAATTTAAATGTACACACATTTTACACGAAAGCTCATTTTCCATTCTTTTATAATGACCAACTTACCAAATGGCCTATGGAATATCTTTGCCAAATGTTAGGTTTCTGCACTAAGGAAACGAAATCAAATACTTTGAGTGTATGTGTACGGTGTGTCATATTTCCAAATTACAGCAATAAATTAAACAATAATATAAATTCAGTTTACAAAAGAATAAGCCTAACTTCTCTGGAAATTAGTGACAATTCACTTTTTCTTCTCATCACTCTACAAGTCAACCATTTCCACACAGATTTCTACAATATAAACATATCTAATTAGCAGCATGCCAAGACTCATTTTCTTCATTTTAAAACAAGGAGTCTGTATCTTAAGCTAAGTACGTGACATACACCATCTCTTTTGGTTCTCAAAATAACCCCAAGGTAGGTATCATTAGTATCCTCTTTATACAGACAAGAAATAGGAACTGAAAGGCATTAACTTGCCAGCATAGAAGCCCAGGCAGTGTGACTCCTGAGAGATCCTGCTCTTATCTGTCACCACTTTCTATACTGTCTTTTGAATCAAGTGTCATGAGCTATCTTTATCTGCATTACCATGAAGTGATGATGTTAAGGTTTCTAGGATAGGAACTATCTACATAATTAATGCAAACTGAAAGAAGGGTAGTTTTGGATAGATGTTCAGTGATAATGCAAGACTAACTATCAGTGTATATATGTTAGATATTAGGTGAGCCCTTAAATTTTTTTTAGCTGATTAAATCATGTGATTAAAACTCACCATGCTTGATCAAATTACCTACAGTTAATGAAACTGCTAATTCACTTACCTCAATCAATTTGTTGGCATGTTCACGAAAAACTTGGGCATACTCCTTAACTTCTTTTTCATTTCCATTCTTTGCAGCTTCAATCAATACTAAAAGTGGAACGTTGGTTTCCAAGAAAGAATCTGAAACGTGGTCCATGACAGCTTTGCGGAGCTAATAATTAAATTATATAAGTTTCATTTTATTTCTATTAAGAAGCAAGGTCACTGTTTTCTTTTGTACCTTTGTATCTAATGAAGCCTATGATACATTGGCTGCCCTTATAGAGGAACCCTCAATGTAAGCAATGCCATTATGTAACTAGGAACAAAGTACTGTGGAGACAATGGTTTACCATATAGTATTTTAGCAACAGAATTTCAGTTTTCAAGACAATATCTTTTCTCTTGGGAATTACAAAACTAAGGCTCACATCTTAAAGGAATCATACAAAGAAGAACAGAAAGCAGCTCTGGGTTGAATTAGCACATAGCCTTAGAATGCATGAAATAATTAGCCTAATTGGCTAAATGAAATGAAGAGAAAGAAAAAAAGAACAATTTCTAGTTTATCTAAAAGGGCTAGCACACTATGAACCTCAAAACTTAAAGGTTATCCTTATAACCATTTCTGATACTTCTTCACCAAAAGAAACTGGATAAAAATGTTGGATCGTAATTTGTTTTATATTAAACATGAGCAATGAAATGTCGCTGCTAGTTCTTGGGAGCTATCTAAATTATTATTATAACTTCTTAAGTCTTGATACATTGTTTTATAAATTCAATCCTAACTTCTTTGAAGACTAAAATTCAGTTTGATTCCAAAACGTTGATGGGACTGTTTATCATTAAATGAACAGATTCTTTGCACTTACTAACATAGATTTTAGCATCCCACATAACACTATACTACATATTTGAACTGGAACCACCTACCTACCAATGATCTAAAAGAACAACTTGCAATTATGTTTTCAGAATGGGGCAAGTCAAACAAGTAAATAGAATTTCTGTGGCTAACTCACGTAAACCAATATAAAAGATCCTTCGAGCTTATTTTCATAAGTCCCCAAGTCATTTTAAATTGATTTTTCTACCTATACATCCTTTTCATGCTACAGCTAATTTATTTAGTCTATTCCAAGTTCCTCTGAGATTATATTAGCCATTAAGAAGCTTATCAGCAACAAAACAGGGAGAGCCACTTTTCTGTGAAAAATCCTTCCCCCCGATAAAAAAATCTGTCCAGTATTTATTACAATTTTAATCAAAACTACAAAATTTGAACTTAAAAGCAATTAGCACTTTCTTTTAGATTACCTGTCTACGCAAGTCCCTTGTCTTCTTGGTCATTTTATCTATTGCAGAATTGAGTGCATCACTTCTTTCTTTACGTCCAGCCTGTATAAGAAGTAAAGAGATGTACAATTTATAAATTTACAAGGAATCCTAATGACATTCTGTAATTATTTAGTACTCAAATTAACACTGTTAAAACAGTACAATACTTTTAGACCAAAGCGGAGGAGGTTGTTCATAAAAACCTAACCTTACAACTCAAGCTCCATATTATCTTTTTTGAAACCAGCAACACAGTTGTTTGTTATCAAGTGATGTGATGTACATAATTGTATATGCTATACTTTTATACAACTGGCAGCATAATAGGTTTGGTTACACCAGCATCACAACAAACATTAGTAATGGTGCTATATGTTTATAAAGATCTTGCCCTGTATCCCAGGTTGGCCTCTAACTTTTGATTCTCCTTGCCTCAGCAAGACAAAGACTTCTGCTTAAAGTTTGACTTTAAAATTAAGTTTAGCTGGGTGTGGTAGTACATACCTGTAATCACAGCACTTGGGAGGCTGAGGCAGGAGGATTGAGAGTTTGAAGCCAGCCTGGGTTCCATGGTGGGTTCAAAGCCAGGCAAGGCTATACAGGGAGACCCTATCTCCAATAAATAAATAATATTTTAACTCAAGGATCAGCATACACCAACTTCTCCTTGAACTGCAAAGCAAGAATAAGTTATACCTAATGTTGATGATATCTGACATTTAAGAATGTCAAGAGGTGAAAGCTGTCCCTTGGTACTAAAATAATGTGAAACAACAAATTTTAAAACTAAGATATATATTACTCAGTTAATAATGTACATTATGCAGCTCAAATCAGAATGCTTTGTAAAAATTACTTCAGTCATATATTTTTCAATTTTTAGGCTAAGCTTAATGCAGTTATATTGCACAGAAAAGAACGTATTAAAAACTCTAAGGTATGTAAATGAGCATTTCTTCAGAGGCCAGAGGACTGAGTTGGTATTTGCCTCAGTAACTTCCTAAGCAGAAATAAAATAGATGGTAGTTGAAAGAAAAAGAATAAAAGTTATTACCCCAAGGTGTGTCCCTGTAAATACTAACACGTAAAATGTTAAACCATAAAATATACTAAAAATTTTGTTTTTACAAATGTTAGTAATCATATGGGGGAATAATAGGTAAACAAATTTAAGCCATGTTACCTCACTTTGAGACATTTTGTATGGGCACGCTGTTACAACATAAGCCAGATAGCAAATGAAGAGATGGGAATGGGGAAATCTGGATGTGTTTCCTACATGCCTTTTATGTAATTTGTTGTTGTTGAATTGGTTTTCTTGGGAGAGGAGGCACTAGAATTTGAACTCAGGGCCTCAAGCTTGAGGAGCTCTACCACATAAGACATGCTCCCAGCCCCTTTTATGTAATTTGTTATTAAATCTCTTATTTCCTGTTAAATGGGAACAATGCCCCTTATCTATTTGCCTCCATCTCTATGGACTGTTAGAGGAGAAAAGATAAGGAATATACATTACTTGGTTGAGGACAGAAAGGAGGTAAGAGGGGATCTGTGAATTTGGAAGAGTTGATATATAAGTGATAAATTGATATGATCACTGTCACAGGTCTCATTCCTTACCCATTCCTCCAAGTATCACTGTATTGCCACCAATAAAATTAGGTGGTTCACTAATATTAATAATGGTGGCGGTGGTGGGGTACGTGTGTGTTCATATGTCCTTAACAAAAACTGATTCAGGAATGAGGTTACTGTCTGCAGAAATGAGATGTGATTTATTCAGGGTCATCAGTCAGAAGAGAACTCTATGTAAGAAGTCTAATTAGTTACTGGCATTTCAAGATCAAAATGTTCAGGATCTAAGACAAAGGTATGTAAAAGTGAACCAAAAGTCAAACTAAGCCAGGCGCCGGTGGCTCATGACTGTAATCCAACTACTCAAGAGGCAGAAATCAGACAGATCGTGGCTCAAAGCCAGACAGGGCAAATAGTTCACAAGACCCTATCTGGAGGGGGAAAAAAAAAATCACAAAAAAGGGCCAGTGGAATGTCTCAAATGGTAAGAGCACCTGCCTAGCAAGCAAAGATCAGGAGGATCAGAAAACTAACCAAAGTTAAGTATTTCTAAAATATGGCAAAGGTAACTTCTTTCATAAGCAAAAATACACTAATTTTTTAAGAAAATGATCAATACAGGGAGTAAATAGGAATGAGAAATATAATATACAGTTTATAGGAAAAGAAAATGTTAATATCCGTACAATCTCACACTTCTTTAAAAGATCAAGGAGAGTGTTTTCTCTGTAGACATTTTAAAGAGCCTGATGGTTTCCAATATAGTGGCAGGTAGGGGTAGTTAGTACATAATTACAGATTAGGGGAAGGAGAGAAAAATGGTTTAAAACTCTTTGGAAGTAAATGAGACAGTGTCTATCAATTTTAAATATACAGACCCTATAGCCCAGTAGTTTCATTGTCAGGACCTTACCTTTTATATAAATTTGCCTAACTATTATAGACACTAGAAGGATATTTATTTTGCTCTGTCTGCAAAAGCCATGAAACAAACTGTATATCCATAAGAGTACAGCCACACATAGGAAAAACTATGAAGCCATAACATAAACAGGGAGCAGGGAGACAGGCAAACAGAAGGCAGAAACTGTACATACAAGCTAGTAGAACAAACATCAGGAGAGAGCCAGCTCTCATGGGGAGAGCCTCACCCCACTGCTCCCTGCCTTACCAAGCCCCTTCCAGCAATGTGAAAAATAGGTATAAACCTCTCAAGAACAGATATAATGTTGATACATTATAAGCCTTTCATAATAAGAAATAATTTTGTTTTATTGGGTCAAGTCTTTGTTATCAATTTTCTTTTGCACTGATGATATCACAGATTTTTTATTCCTTGGCACATGTCAGTGCCTTTCCACAACAGGAACCTATTAAGAAGGTTGCCAGGGCTCAGTGGTAGAACACGTGCCTAGTACATGTAAGGCCTTGGGTGTGATCCCCAGCACCACAAAAAATAAAAGCTAAAATTAAAAACAAACAAACAAAAAACCCCAAAGGAGTCTCAGAAAATGCTGTTTCCAAGGTTTAGCAGCCAAGAGTGCTGAATATATATGTAATTAACCCCTTTAAAATTTAACCAATTGGGTAAGAGAGCCCAGTAAATTAAAAGACTAAAGTGAGTATGAATGGGTATCTTGCTTCTATCCTGTGTACACAGTTCTGCATAGACCTTGGTAGTCTAGTTGTGGGAGAAAACATAACTAAATCAAAAGCTACTGAGAAATGCAGACAAGGAGAAGCCAGAAAGGGCAACCCCAAACTTAACTATATATTTCAGAATAAGAAACAAGGCTTGCTATACACAAAGAAAGGGGGAGATACAGAGATAAGAACACAGGATGCAAATGGCAGAAGAGATCCTTTTTTTCTTTTTGTTTTTTTTTTTTTAGGGGAGGGAGGGGTGGTAAACTGGGGTTTGAACTAAGGGCTTCAAACTTCCAAAGCAAACACTCTACCACTTGAGCCATACCTCCAGCCCCTTTTTGTGTTGGGTTGTTTTTTTTTTCAAGATAGGTTCTTGAGAACTATTTGCCAGGGCTGGCTTTGAATCATAATCCTCCTGATCTCAGCCTACCAAGTAGCTATGATTACAGAGTGAGCCACCAGCGCCTGGCTCAGAAGCAATTTTTTTAAAAAGGAGGATTGGCTATATAAATTTCATTCTGTATATTAATCAAGAATTCATGAAAGTTCATTATTTTTGTTTTAATTCCTATGCCATAAAAATAAAAGATCTAGGCTGGAGTAGTAGCTCAAGTGGTAGAGCACCCGCCTAGTGAGCATGAGGCTCTGAGTTCAAACCCCAGTTCCTATAGCTGCCCTCCCCCACCAAAAAAAAAAAAAGATCTTCATAGTTTAAAATCTCAACTCTCTCTACCAAAGCATACATGATTCTCAAACTAGAAGAATGGGCTCCAGACTGTGTAAGTTATAATATGAGATGGAGTGCTGCTTGCCATCACTCATGTAGACAGAATCCCTTTCAATTTTCTCACTCAAGTTTATGAATAAGAAAAAAGGTTTGTTTTTTTTTTTAATAAAAAAAATCAAAATCAAGAGAGGGCAAGTAGGCATGACTTTGAGTATATAATGAAAGAGAATGCAAAATGCTCACTGATTCATGATGTGGTTTCATCTTTGCTTGGACAGACCATGCAGTATTTAATAAATAGTAGCAGAATACTTATTATTTAGGTGGGGGGAGACAGAGCAGGGTGGGGACAAGTACCTAGGAGTGAAAAAAGATTTTAGATTATATAGTCTAGCTTAAAAAGAAAGATCCCCTTCCCCCTGCCCCCAAAAAACACTTACAACCTAGACCCAAGTATATGGGTACCAACCAAGATCGAAAAAGGATCTCAGCAGAAAAAATATACAGATCCACAAAATCTAGGACCAGTACCCTAAAAGCTGCTGTTGCTTTTTGAAAAATGAGAGAAGATTTTCCAAGTAGCAATCAGGACTGCTAGCCACAAAGTTTACTTTAGCATGATGTTCAGGGAACCTCTGATCAACACTCTGATGCTGGGGCATTAACGATTTTTAGAGTTGGGCACAATTAAAGAAACATTTGACTTTAATATAAAGAATAGTTAAAATTTATGTATCTATATGTTTGCTTCTCCATCAGCAATATATATTAAAAGCAAACTGTCACGTGGAAGAATGTAGATAACTATAGTCTACTTCCTAAATCCTGTTGCATGACTTGCTAAAATTTGCTTAAAACCTTTGGGGGTGGGGAAGGTGCTGGATTTTGAACTCAGGGTCTCACTCTTGGTAGGCAGGCACTCTACCACTTAAACCATACCGCCAGCCCTTATAAAGATTCTTAAAAAGTGAGAATTGACACACATGGTAGACATCAGTTCCCAGAAGTAGTACTGCCACTTTAGGTCAAAGGCATATATATGCAGAAGAAGTCTGCTCTGAAATTAAACTCCCAAAAAAGTTTAGTTCATAAGGAACAATGGTGTCTGTAAAGGTAAAGAAAGATATAAGCCAAAAAGAAAAAAAAGATACAAAAGTCTATCAATAGGAAATGTGTATTATTTTGCCAATTTTAAAGCAAATACTTTGCCATCTTTGGTTCCACAGCCTCAGCCTTTGAACCCAAGGAGGAGACAGGTAAGAAATGTGGCTGGTGACCTGCAAAGAGCTGTGTTCCCTAGGCACTGTGATGCAGCAAACAGGAAGCCTACTTCTTCAGGGGCATGAAAAAAATGACTTATTGGGTGTGGTGGTACATATACCTATAGTCCCAGCTATCGGGGAGGCTGAGATAGGAGGATCTTGAATTTGAGGCTAGCTATAGCTAGACTGTTATTTACAATAATAAAAATAATGATGACAATAATAACTACGCTCTATTCCTTCTCTGGTCAATTTTCCTTGTCCACAAGTGTGTTTACAATTATATTACAATTACAATATAACTTAAAAGAGTTTCCATTCATTAGTACATAAGAGGTAGACCAAATAGAAAGGAACGAAGAGTACAAGAATAAGGAGATGTTTTTCCCTTCTAAATTTTTACATATAACTAATTTCTAATCATGATTGCTCCAATCCATGCATTTTTTTTTAGCCAAGGAATTAAAGTGGTTACTTGAGAGAAGAATTTAATCAGGCTTTTGTATGGCAAAAGTTATTTTTCATCAGAGAGTGGCAGACTTCAATAAGACATATAACAACATCCAAAGGATGCCTCTTTTTCTTTGAGACAGGATAATGCTATGTAACCAAAATTGGCTTTTAAAAATCCTCCACCTCTCCCTCTTCTTCTGGAGTTCTGGGATTACAAGTGTTCGCCACCAGGCCCAAACTTACCAATGATTTCTTTTTTTTTTTTTTTAAATTAAAAAAATTAAGAGGTCACTCCTATGAGATTCCCTCCTTGTAAGTTTTCAGAGGACAAGCTCCTACAAAACAGTGTCTCTGCTACCTAGGGTCACAGATCCTACAGGGATCTGATTAAACCTTATCCAGAAAAAAACTGAACAAGCAACAAAATTTCACAGCCCACCTGCAGACTCAGCCTATAAAGAGGGACTATAGGAAGGATCAAGGGCATCATTCATGTCTACACCAGGACATATCTCCCTCCCTTCCTGAACCAGTATGATGTAGGAACATGGTAGTACAAGTGCAAGTTCATTGTCAAGGATATAGCAGACTCTCAAAGGCTATTTTAGCTTAAGAGACTTTTACTCAGCCAGTGAAATTGTCTAAGAACTGCACTACTGTCTGAGACTATCTGCTTAATCTTCTTTCCTTTTCTCCTTTCACAGGTATCAGATCTGCCATGGGGTCTGAAGACTTTACTGGCCCTCAGAATATTCCTGCTGGCTTTTCTTCCTTTAATACTTCCCTGGCATTTCCCTTAAAATAAACAAACAAACATCTCTTGTACTTCTAAAACCATCTTGGGATCACTTTTAGGAGAACTCAAAATATACATCTACATTGCTAGAGGTTCTACTGCCCCTTTACACGGGCCTCTAAGTAAGGAAAGAATCTTAAGAGTCTTCAAGTTCTCATGCCAATGGAAAAGTTTTTCCTTTTTAGATGTGTCTTCTTAGACTTCCCGAGTGAATGAAGCCCTCAGAATGACTTGTTTCACAGACAACATCAGTGGTCCTGAGATCTCTGCTCTTGGGTTTAAAACAAGACTCACTAAAGGTAAGTGCCAATGGTATGGGGAAACGTATATATGATCAAATCATGTGTAAAAGGCATTACACCCTAGTCAGGCCTAAGGAGTGACACAAGCTGAAACATCCTTTGCAGTTATACAACACTAAACCTAGAGCTGTATATTCACCTTTGAGCTCTGAAAAGTGATGATACTATCCTACAGAGATGCTCGACTTAGGCCAAGCAAAAACAAGCCAAAGCAAAATTCCTTTTCCAAAGCATAAAGTGACCTTTTGTATTCATAAGAGAGATTCCAACAAGAGCTAGTGTGAAGCTCAAAAGTCAGTTCTTAAGTGTGCCAGTAGGAGCTAGTGTGCAAATGCTGTATTATTTCAATGTCACAAACCCCCAATCTCAGCACCAGCTGCGGCTTTCAGTGAGATGCTGAAATACGGAGAACAGAATCCAGTCACACAACATTATTTTTCTGAAATCACCTCTGTTCCCTGCTATCCCTTAGGTCATGTGTATCAAAATTACTGTATCAACCTGCCCTTTGCTTCTAGTAGGACATCCAAAGATCAACTCAGCCTTATTTCTCAAATAGTATGGTAGTAAAACAATGTTATGAAATAGGACACAGAGAAGTTTATAAAATTAGAGTTCCCCTGAAATTCTCAAGGAAGAAGAAGAAAAAAAAAAAAGACCACAAGGCTTTCTTTTGGAAGCCACATCCCCTCTTGCTTTAAGATGTTAAGCTCTTGATGACAAAGAAACCAAACCCACTTACTTTAGCAATACATCTAAACCAAATCAGTCATACGTTGATTTTAACCAAACCTGACAATAAGGCAATTGAGTAACTTTCTAAACTACCAGAGCAGCAGGATTACCTTCCAGCATAAACTGGCTTTAATTAGCACTTCAAAAATCAACAGTGCAGGCTTCTGCCCATTTAGATGATATCTATGTAAAATCAGCAGTCTAACACTGGCTCTCATACACATTAAAAATCATCACTCTGTTAGCCCAACTCACTGTTCAGATGGGTCTTCTTGAATGCAGCCTTTATTACAATCTCACTGCTGTTTCCTACAATGAAGGAATATCATGTTTTTAAGTCGGGAGCTCTTGTTTCTTGCTTTATTGTAATCAGGCGGGTCTTACAAAGACCCCAACACTATTACAAAGCATGATGCTAAACAGTAAAGCTTCTGGAAAACCCAAACAAAAGACACGTCACTGGGTGACGTCAGCCTATATACAGTTCTGTGTGGTCGCAGCACATAAGCAAATCCATTCTTGTGCCGTTTCTCGGAAAAGCTTTTCAGTAAATGCACTCATGCTGCTCCAGGAGCTCTTCTCTGCAACAAGCCGCCCATCTGCCATCAACAAGTTAAGACGAGAGAACTAACAGCTATGGCAAGGAAAAACTGAAGCTTTGATGACCAGCAGAAATCAAAGAAAAGAATTATTAACTTAAATTCAAAACTAATTTTGAGGATCAGAGCATCACAGAAATGAAACCAATGCTTTCCAGAGGAATATCCTAAGGAAAAAACGACTCACCCTGGCAGATTCGATTTTACTAAGAAAGCCTGGGACACACAAAACAGGAAACTGGTCTAAGGCTCCTGTATGTTAGAGCCTCTTACAGACTCACTGCGTTGAGTCTGACAACCTCGACTGAATGCAGCCTCCAATGTGCACAGAATGGGTAAGTCCATGCATTTGTATGTCTTTTACAGTCAATAAGGAATCACGCTTTTAAAATAAGCCACTGAATTCATATTTTATGAGAGATATCGTCACAGTTTTGGATTTTGAGGTTTAGGTAAAGAGATATTGCTAATAATAGGGACGTGCTTTAACTGCTCTTTAAATGGTTTAAGTTGTGCTAATCATATCAACAAGGTTAATTTTTTTTTGCAGTAAATGAAAAAAAGTTATATGCAGTAAAATCTTTCGTCATAATATTATGTTGTTGTTGTTTTAAATAGCCCATATGTTCTGCTGAAACATATATTATCTTCTTGTTTTCCTAAATTATATTCTGCAGGCTTACATTTCAAGTGGCCATTAGGGGCCCCTATGCTGGCAGCAATATATGCAATGAGTATGATTTTAAAAATGCTGCCTGCCCTGGGTATGGCATGTCCACCCAAATGCCGCTGTGAGAAGCTGCTATTCTACTGCGACTCTCAGGGCTTCCACTCAGTGCCAAACGCCACAGACAAGGGCTCTCTGGGCCTGTCCCTGAGGCACAATCACATCACAGAGCTTGAAAGAGATCAATTTGCCAGCTTCAGTCAACTTACCTGGCTTCACTTAGATCACAATCAAATTTCAACAGTAAAAGAAGATGCTTTTCAAGGACTGTATAAACTTAAAGAATTAATCTTAAGTTCCAACAAAATATTTTACTTGCCAAACACAACTTTTACCCAACTGATTAACCTGCAAAATTTGGACCTGTCTTTTAATCAGCTGTCATCTCTGCACCCAGAGCTCTTCTATGGTCTTCGGAAGCTGCAGACCTTGCATTTGCGTTCCAACTCCCTGCGGACTATCCCAGTACGTCTGTTCTGGGACTGTCGTAGTCTGGAGTTTCTGGATTTGAGCACAAACCGTTTGCGAAGTTTGGCTCGAAATGGATTTGCAGGATTAATCAAACTGAGAGAGCTTCATCTAGAGCACAACCAGCTGACGAAGATTAATTTTGCTCATTTCCTCCGGCTAAGCAGTCTGCACACACTCTTCTTACAATGGAACAAAATTAGCAACTTGACATGTGGGATGGAGTGGACCTGGAGCACTTTAGAAAAGCTAGACCTGACTGGAAATGAAATCAAAGCCATCGATTTGACAGTGTTTGAAACAATGCCTAATCTTAAAATACTCCTCATGGATAACAACAAATTAAACAGTCTTGATTCCCAGATCTTAAACTCCCTGAGATCCCTCACGACTGTTGGCCTCTCCGGAAATCTGTGGGAATGCAGCCCCCGAATATGTGCTCTTGCCTCCTGGCTGGGCAGCTTCCAAGGTCGGTGGGAGCATTCTATCCTATGCCACAGCCCTGACCACACCCAAGGAGAGGATATTCTAGATGCAGTCCATGGATTTCAGCTCTGCTGGAATTTATCAACCACGGTCACTGCCATGGCTACCACTTACAGAGACCCAACCACTGAATATACAAAAAGAATAAGCTCATCAAGTTACCATGTGGGAGACAAAGAAATCCCAACTACTGCAGGCATAGCAGTTACAACAGAAGAACACTTTCCCGAACCAGACAATGCCATCTTTACTCAGCGGGTAATTACAGGAACAATGGCATTATTGTTTTCTTTCTTTTTTATTATTTTTATAGTGTTCATCTCCAGGAAGTGCTGCCCTCCCACTTTAAGAAGAATTAGGCAATGCTCAATGATTCAGAACCACAGGCAGCTCCGATCCCAAACACGACTCCATATGTCAAACATGTCAGACCAAGGACCGTATAATGAGTATGAACCCACGCATGAAGGACCCTTCATCATCATTAATGGTTATGGACAGTGCAAGTGTCAGCAGCTGCCATACAAAGAATGTGAAGTATAATATCTACCCATCATCAAAATTCACATCAGATAAGTAACCTATTTTACATAGTAGGGACTAAATAGAGATCTAATTTTTACCAATGCTGACATTAAGCCTAATTTTCCAAATCAAGTGGAGACTTAGTTTTTCGGGTGTTGAAGTATTTTTAATTTTTTAATGAAACCATATTAAGTGTTAAATGAAGCGATACTCATATTAATTTGCACTCTTAAGTCTAAAAATGCTTACTTCAGAATAAGGCATTTCATGTATATAATTATATACTATTATGTGTAAACATTTACACTGAGGTCTCTATATACTTTTTTTTTCCTACTGAAAAAAACAGTTTGGAAAGAAGCTATTGGGCAGAAATAGATATGGATCAATACCTGTTTGATCCTTGCCCTACATCCTATGTACCACACTGGCTTGCTGCTTAAAAAGAGATAGCAAAGTTCTGTTTTATGATACTTTGATTATTTACTCAAAGCGATAATCTATTGCCACTGTGAGAAGTAGACTTACACATATGCTGAAGAATGGTAAATATTAAACACTATTCTTGCAGAGTTTTTGCCTGGGTTAGTAGACATTATGAAAGTCCACACCATGAAATCAGAACCCTTTACGTAACTCTAATAAGCTGAATGACTCTTTAATATATTTAAATAATGAATCCAAGTGATTGTAAAAAGGTCTTATTACAATGAAATCAATACTAAATAATGACACTGACTTCTTGTCTTGTATCTCTAGCTTGACTTGTAAAGGAAATGTTGATTTTTGTGGCATTTAGACTTATTTTAAACTAGTATTAAATTGCCTTTTTACTAATTAACTTACTAAATCCTATATTTACATGTGGAAAAAATAGAAATTATTTGGAAAAGAAGAGATAAACTGAGTTAATTTAACAATTCTGATCATGTTCCCTCTGGTTTGGAAAAAAAAAAGAGAAATCCCTCCCTATGATTAAGATGCCTTGACAAAGGGTTAAGCCTCTTCCTTCTGTCAATTTCTGATTTTTAAATCTTTAAAACTTAAAAAGCCAAATTAAAAATAATTGGCTACCAACAGGAATAGCACCAATTCTTATTGTATTATAAAGGAACTATGGAGAAAATTACTTTCTAAAATAAATATTCTATGCTAAAATTTGTCCTTTAGATGAAGATACACACTCACATTGTGTGGTTTCTTCCAAGACAGGACCAACACATTACTGAGATGAATTTTATGGTACAATACTAGACATGCCTATGCAGCCACACAGCAGTAATTGCAAGACAGCACAGAGGTGAGGGAATGAAAAGGGAAAAAAAAAAAGATTTTGAAACCTGACTCTCAGGTGAACTGAAGTTACTAGCCAAGAAAGACTACATATAATCTGTACAAAATGAACAAGGCCCAGGGACCTACACTGGAAAGGAAAAGGAGGGAAGCTCTCTAGTGTAAATATAAATAATCTGCAATAACAATAACGATGCCATTTTTCATGCAGGACAGAACTGCAAATATTCAATTTGATTTCTAGGGGGAAACCTATGGGTTATTTAGGATTTAGATGCAAGTTACCAATCCACACAGAATTTTTCCATAAAGAAGGTTCAGTTTACGTGGAAACATTGTAAAGCAGAGCACTAATTTGACTTTAGAAAAACAAGCATTTTTACAGCTGTCACTTACCATATATGAAAAAGTCATAAAATCTTAAGAGAAAATCACTGTCATAGAAGAGACATCTTTTCCTTAACATGTACATTAAAATTATGTACATTACGTACATTATCCTTATTCAAGACATATTTTTCCCAGCATTACACTGAAAACATGTTACAAATATAGTTTAACCCATAATACCAAAAAGGGTACCAAATTCAAAGAAAACACATCTTAATAAAAAGCAGACAAGATCACAAATTATGGTGAAAATGTGCTCTATACTTTTAAGAGAGGGAGGGAAAAGACAGATCAGCTTGGCAAAGCCTCAGCCCAGTTCAAGTCAGTTGATCTTCAGTGGTTGAGCATTTCACCTCCTGCTAAAACAGACTCAGAGCCTGCCTGGGCAGAGACAGACACCGATTTTCCGGCATAGAGCACAGTACACTACTTCCCACAGAGGGGCTGAATCAAAACCCCTATTACAAATGAGAGATCCGTGGGCTAAAATTTACCAACTTACTTATTAGGGTGACCACTGCCATTGTCAGGTGACAGCTTGTTCACAACACAGCTTTGAGCATATAAGATTCCATCAGCTTTGAAGAAAAGTGGAGTATTCCTCATCATTTCAAACCCCAACCAAAATTAATTCAAACTGTGAGTAGAAGGTAAGAAATATTCACTGGGAATCCCCAAATTAATCCTAAAGAATTTTAAGTCAAGTGGACCATCAGCTGGCAAACTCCTTAATGTATGTGGAAAAGCAAGTCATTTAGTAATTCAGATGAAGAACACTGCCAAGGCCACTGAGGTATACTTTTCAGTTGAAAAATAATTATTTTTTTCTCTCCACATTTTTGGTAATGTTTGCTGAGAAAAATGAATGTCAGTGTCACCAGGTATTTTCCTTTCTCACTTAAAAGCACAAATTTCCCTTTTGAATTGCCTGTAGAAGACAGGCTTCCATTTAATTGTTGTCTATCTATCTGTATCTCAGTATCAGCACAGGTTTGAAGGTGAAATTTAGACATCTGTGCTCCCTTTACCAACTGGCTGGGGTAGAAGAGCATCATAGCAATGATACAGATCCTGGTCACAGTATCAGAGCTTTTCTTTTGTTTTATTTCCTTTGGTGGGGGTTTTATCTTCTTCACCACTGCCGCCACCACCACCACCATCACCCTCCTTTCCCCCTCACCCATTTTCAAGGTTAGAGGAAAATTACCATAAAAAAACAGAAAAATAATCCAATCCCTCTGGAAAAAGGAGAGCTAAAGAAGAATACCTTATCTACAGAGGAACCAAGAACTACTTTGCAATTGTTTCTATTCATTTCTATAGCTTGCCTGGGAATTCAATCACCTTTCTGAAAAGACAGTGGCTGGTAAATTTGCAAATCCACGCACAACTCTGAGAATACTTGTTGCCAGCATCAAAAAGCAAAAACACCAATTTTTTAAGCCAAAAATCTGTACTAACACATGTAATTTCTTAATGTGCCTGTTAATTTCTGTACCAATCCAATGAATGGAATTGACTGAACTCCACTCACTAATTGTTAAAATCCATCTGCTGTTCTAATGCTAGTCATCAAGAACTAGACTCCATCTTCCCAATAAAAATGAGCCCTACATAGCACTAGGTCTGAGAACTCAAAACAGGCATATCATTTTCTTAAGATATACTTCCCAATATACAGCTATAGGGGGAGAAAGGTAGGCTATAAATTCTCCCCCTTTCTCTCTCTGAAATGTGCATATCATCATTAAAATTTTTGAATATTTTTAATAGCTGACTTACACAATTTTCCTAATACAGCAATACAATGACAGAACTATCTCAAAAGTCTGTTTGGGGCATGCTTTTCCTATCTTATTGGTTAAAGGGCTTGAGCCAAATAAAGACAAAGGTAAAAGACAATAAGGCCACTCATAAAAAATTAAATATCTCTCCATCTAACCTGGGGAAAATTCATACTACTTGAATAAGGCCAAAAACAAATACAAAATGATTGTTTACACCTTTATTCTCCTATTATAAACATTGGAAACTTCTGCAACCCCTTCAACTAACCTTTTCTTCCTTGAGTTTTTAAAAAATAGTCTGATATATGGAATGTTTGGTGAACCTATCAATCAACACTGAGACTGGAAACTCAAAGTACAGTCCAAATGCATTGTGTTCAACCACCTTTAAGAGCCATTTTCTGGAGGGGAGGGAAGGGGAACAGATGGGTTGGGGTGATAAGAAAAAACTATTATAAAAGGGGTGTTGGGGGGGGAAGGGTAACATAAAGTACAGTGTACAGGAAGGTTTTGTTATTAAAATTGTGTATACTGTAAAGTGAATGTCTCTTTCTTTTTATGGCTTTCCCCTGATAACCTGCCAATGCTAACATGTAAAACTCGAAAAGCCATTTGTGACAGATAAGAAACTTTAAATGAAAGTTGTTTTGTACCATGTTCCTCTACAATACCAAATATGCTGATTGAGAAAAGGGCAGCTAATCATTACCTCTCTATTCAGAGAGGCAAAACTAGGTTAAGAAAGTAAAGATAATTGCTGGTGTTGGGGGGGGGTAAGAAGCTGTTGTTGTGTCAAAGCTTTAAAGCTTTAACAAGTGGACAGAAAGTGGGGCTCAGAGGGCCTGGGACTCAATGTTCCTCTCCCAATCATCCTGCACAATGGACTACCACCATAGTCTAAGGATATTCAGAAAGGATACCCAAGTGCATGTACCTGGCAAACAGAAACTTGGCTCTACTTCAGTGGTTAGTTGAGGTAGAAAACCCAGCATCACCTAGCATACCACTTCTGGGAATTCCACAGGTGCTGACCAATGCTGGGACCACTAGGCTCCCTAAGTGACTGACTTACTATACCCCAGATGCCAGCTCAGTGGGGATGGATGGAGAAGGGAGAAGATTTTCAGCTAGAGTTTTGCAGCTGACATAAACATCCTCAGACAGGATGCTATGCCTGGGCAGCACTGGGGCAGAAACTGTCCTGGCTTCCAGTAAGTGACTGCCCAAGGGTCTGACACACTTGCCAGGATATACTTACTGCTTCTCCAGCCCCACCACAGCACAACAGGACCAGACAAAGACTGGGATTAGAGAGGCTGAGAGTGCGCTCACGTCAGGAATCTCCACTGTAACTGAATTTAGAAGCAAATTTATAGCCAAAACCACTCCATTTGCATTAGAGGGCATAAGTGATGATGGCTTAAATTGAACAAAGGGAAAAAATCCTATGTACAGCTAAATCTGATTTTTATCATTTATCTTCATTAATTTTGCCTATATACCCCCAACACTCTCATATTCCACTCAACTACATAATAGATTTTTTCAAGTTCTGTTTAAAGAGATTTTTCCTCGTTTTTTAAAATATAATCTTCTAGGTTCAAGTTTCCCTTAGATAAAATATACTACAAATTATCTTTACAAAGAGAGAACAGAGAAAGAGGTGAAAGTCAAAACTATCCCAAACATCTCTCCTTAGCATAAGTTTGCCTTTCTTCTTCACCAGCTGGATGTTTTGGGAACATTTTTTGTTTTGTTTTTAATTGTGCTGGGGACACATTGTGACATTTACAAAATTTCTTACAATATAGCAAATATATCATAGTTGAATTTACCCCCTCCATCATTCTCCTTTATCCCTCTTTCCCCCCATTCCTGGAATAGTTTCAACAGGTCTCATTTTTCCGTTTACATACACATAAGAGACAGATCCTGAATGTCCCCTTCCACTATGTAAAGAGCAAGAAATCTCCAAGGCAAATACAAAGAGGCATCTTAACCTGCCAAGTCCACAAACTAAGTACACCATCTCTCTCCACATAAAGGTCTGACAACAAAGCATAGCTAAAGACCTCATAAGGAACTCCAGTTAGAAACCCAATATGAACGAGGAACTGTGAACACCCAGATAGGCAGAAGCAGATTTAAAAACTGCAACCCCAAAGACAATCTCCAAAGCCATTTACAACTTCCATGAGACTTTGCCAAGAAACATAAGAGAAGAGATGCAAAACAACCATAGTTAAACATGAACTTTACTGCAGAGCCATTCATAATTGTGTTTAGAGCACAATAACTCCATTGTTAGACTGGTATTTATAATAAGTTACTAAAACTCCAAGCTGTTTTTTTTTCAATAAATAAAAAAGTATCTGTTTCATCATCATTGAATGCCAAAAAAGTTCTAATTAACAAAAACATTTCTCATGGGGATATAGTTCAATGATAGAGTACTTGCCTATCTTGTGCAAGACCCTGGATTTGATCCCCGAACTGAAAAACAAAATAGAAGACATCCTGTCAAATATATGAAGGCCAACTGCTCAACACCCAAAACATCTGAAAATCTCATTTACATAAAACCTAATTTTACAGAGTCAACGAAACTTAGAATAATAAATTCACATGTACAGAACAGATAAAATAGAATGCAAAAAGATCAAAGCAGGAATTCGTAATGCTAAGGATCCAGGATATATTTCAAAGAGAACCTTTGGAAACTAATATTTATTAATATTATAATAATATTACATGTGAGTTCAGAGGTTTTATTGTTCTTGAGGAAACCCTGGTAGAGCAAGAGTTATTTCTAGTACACACCAGTTTAGGGCTGGCAGAGTAGCTTAAGTGGTAGATCAGGCCCTGAGGTCAAACCCCAGTGCCACACACGCAAAAAAAAGCCAATTTGGCCCTGATCTTCCTGGTGGACAGGGCAAAGACTAGTTTATCTAAGGGAAAGGCACTTCAGTGCAAAAGTGTGAGGATTACCTGTAACATGGAGACAGCTATAGGAACAATAAGGAAAAATATCAGATAGGATCTCTAAAGTTTTGTATAAAAGACTTGTTCTTCATGTCAATCCTTGATAATCAGACTATCCAAGCAAGTTGCATGCTTTGTGATCACTGAAGATTGGAACCTAAAAAGTCTGCAAGAATGAATGAGTACTCTTTTAGAAAGTAGCTCATGCTTCCTCTGTATCACACCCCAAACTACACTTTTCCCACACATACAGAAGACAGCCAGTAAATACCTTCATTATCTTCTAGACTAGAAGTACAACTTAAAATTTAAAAAACATGTTCCAAAGGCTAGGGTTATAGCTCAGTGGTAAAGTGCTTGCCTAACATGTGTAAAACCCTGGGTTCAATC